AATGTTTGATTAGTGATTTTTAAAGTTAAGCATCTACTTCCTCAAAGTTTGGGAATATTCATATCAAAGAGAGCTTTGAATATATATAGAGAGAGTTTCTACAATCTGAAATTCAGTGTGAAGTTAGATTCAGGAATGTTGTTCAGATCTATCTTTCCTCATTCTTTTGGAATGTTTATGTGGCGAGATGTACTGAACAAGATACCACAGAGTACATAAAATTATAGATCATAAATCAGGGGAATTTTATTATCTGTCCTTTTTGGAAGTGCTGTAAATGAGACAAATATTTCTGCATTTTCATAAGGCATTAAAATTGATTTCCATTTTAACTGTGGGGCACTGCAATTGCAAATACAGCAGCTTGTCTATAAAAATGACAGTACCTTTTAGCACTTGCTGTTTTTCTTAGAACTTTGTCACAGACAAGCACTAAAACCATTTTCAGTCTAATCTGCAGTATTCCACAGCCCATACACCTGCAACGTTGGCTTACAGTATCTTACCAGCAAGATGCTGCAAGAAACACAAGGTGCCACCTCCAACAGCCAGCAATCACAAATTCACCAAACTCCTCGTCTTTTGTTCTACAGCTTAACACCACGACAGAGGAAACTTTTGTTTTCTGCCTTGTTTTCCCAAGGGATGTGCAGACACCGAGCACCTGGGAGCGCTGCGTGTGCCCGGGAGGAGCAGAGGCGGGCGGCTCCCAGCGAGAGGAGCCCGGACAGATGTGGCGCTGGGCCCAGCTGTGCCAACTGACGGCTGCCACAAGAAAGCGCCGCGCGGTGGGAATGCCCTGCGCTGCAGCAGCGCCTGGCTCTGCGGCAAGGAGCCGCTTCCTGAGGCCAGCACAACCCCGAGCAGGGCTTCAGCCCCGCTCGGGCGTCTGGAAACGCAGGGGAAGAGCTGCAGCCTGGGAAGGGGAGCAGCGAGCTGCCTGCTCAGCATGGCCCTGAAAGGGAACGGAGCCCAAGGAATCTCTGCGCCAAGCCTTGTCCCCAGGAGCAGCACACTCACTGCTGCAGTAACACAGATCTCCGTGAACAGAGGAGAACAGCCACACTTGGCCAAAGGGTACCGGAGCATGCATGGAGCCCCAGCACAGGACTGCTGCTCCAGCTGCTTTGGTCGGTGTCACTGGATTGTCTCGCAGTCTCCTTGCAGGGCTGTGACCACTCAGACCCTGGTGGGACCGACCTACTGCTAAGACTCCCAAGGAAAATTCAAGGTAGAGGACAACAGGATATAAATCAGCCTGCTATCAAAGCACTTTTACACCAAATGTGTGTTTACCCACACTATGATGTAAACGAAGTTGCTGAGCAACCAGGAATTTGGTCCTATTTTTACTTCTGCATTTAGCATCACTAACTGACAGTCTACCTTTATAGAAAGTGTATGTTTTTACAAAGGACATCAGGTATTTCAAAAACAAATCCAAGATAAAGCAAAGTCCACTTCCAATCTTTGTCAACATGCAGAGGGGGAAAAACACGTTAACAGAGATCAGCATCTTTAGTAGTTAGGTATGTAAACAAGTTTCATGATTTGCACAGGACTTGAAAATACATGTGATATTTTTGTTAAAGCAAAAAGCAATGTTCTAAGCACACACAAGTACAGAACCTATGTAGTATTTGAACTGTTACAAGATATGTTTTCTACATTTCATTTGCATTGGCTCTGCATTTAAATCTTTTTCCATAATGATAATGGGTCATATACATAACCATATATTCAGTGAAGTTAAATCAGGAATTGATTTGGTTTCATATTCTTTCAGCTAAGACTGTAAATACCAGACTCTTGTCTGCTCTGTATGAATACAAATGGCCTCAGTGGAGTTCTGCCAGTTTATAGCAGCAGAAAATGAAGGCCAGAGGATCAGTCTTTTCCGTAAGAGCAGGGATTTGTTTCCAAGCCATCTTCTTCATAATGTTCTGAATTATCTGGTTGGTACTCTCCATACCAAAATTATTTTCCTTCAGTGGCATTGTGAGTATACAAGTATATACCAGAATACCTCTGGGCATTAACAGAAATATACCCATAACTGTCTGAGTCAGATTTGCCTGCATATCTTTTCATTTCTTCAGTCTTTATCTCATTCTTCCACAATCATTATCTCAACAAATAATTACTGTTCCCTTTAGAGTCATGAGAAGTGAACATTAACCCTGAACATTAGCAAAAAGTTTTCACCTCAGCCAGCCAAGGAAACAACTCTTCCGTTTCCATCCCCAGTGGAATAACTATTTTACTCCTCATAAAACTCAAAGAGTTCCTAAAACAAATAGTCCCTCCCCATAACTGAGGAGACTGTAACATCAAGACTGTGGAGAGAAACACTCAGTATCCTTCTGGCAACACCAAAGGCAGTCACAAGTCCAACACAGATAAGCTGACTGACTGATAAGGATGCACATCTCTGCTGCACTTTAGACATCAATGAAATCATTAATACAAAGGGACTGGAGAGATGCATCACACAGCTTTCACTTCCCGTGGGTTCACTCAACGTCAGAGATTGTGTAGTTCAAAATCCTTGTCAGTGTGGTAGGGAGAAAACTGCTCCCTACTGCAGCAGCCCCTAAGTCAATCCCAAGTAACACACCAAATTTCCTGCTCCACGTGAGAGTTTTGCCTTTAATTATTTCAGAAAACAGGAAAAATGTTTAGGAAAGGCCATAAATAGAAAAGATTAATGTCCCTTGCCAACCCCTGCTGAAAATATTAAATATTAAACAGAATACAAGCTACAAGAGGAAAAGATATATATTATTCAGACTTCAAACCACCTCACAAACACTAAAACAATTCCAGGTAACTAACTCCATGAGCAAGTATAAAATTTAACATGCACATAAAGTATGTTCTTAAAAATGACAACCTGGTAATGGCTAAGAGGAAAATATGCCTCCTCTGTGAAAGGTAATCAAATGAAAGGTACAAGCCAAAAACAACCACAGGGGCAGGCCAATAAAATATCATGTACAGAAAATGTAGCCTATATTGCCTAATCTTCACTGTGATATTCATGCCTGTTAACAAAGAGCAAAAATCTAACTCATGAGTGGTGTAAATGTAAGTGAATTATTCCCATTTCTCTGTGTAAGATGAATGTCACTAAAGAGTTCCAATTTTGTTGGGTATTCTGCAGCAAAGTGTTTCTTTATATCAAAGGAAACCATATAATGACTATACTGAATGACACTTATGGAGCATAGTAGGTACCCTGAACATTTGGTAAGAATCATCTGCTTATGAGAGAAGGAACTGAATGGCTGGATGTATCCCTAATGTACAGTGAAAAATTGATAATGAAATGAATAGAAAAGGCACTTAAGAGATTCCAGAGCTGATGTGGCCTGAAGAATATTATAAACCCCTTTACAAGTTTTCTCATCGACTCTACAGGCAATAGGATTCCCACAGGACTGATCTCTAGTTTCTGTCACTCATGCCTTTCTAAAAAACCACACACAAGAAGCACCTAATTCACCATTCCACAAAGCCACAAATGTTCACCTTTATGGCTGATTCTTTGCCGGATAGCAAACCCTGTACAGAGAGGTCTCTCAGACAGAAGGTTCCTTACTTTACCTTTGCTATACATGCATATGTTAATGAGGTTGTCTCCCTTATTTTTCTGTTGAGGGTTTCAAAGGCTGACCTTGCTATCATTATACAGCACTTCTCCGTTTCTTTCTCCCAGATTTTTTATGGAGCTCTTCCAGAATTTACTTCTTATCCTTCTGATTTATACACATTATCTGTATCCTTCAGAAGGAGATGAATTAATAATTAGATCTGTGCAGAAATGTTTAAGGTTGGAGTGGAAAACTCCAGTTGTATCTAAACCATTTAATTTAAAATACCTTGGGTCCAACAAAAAACTGTATAGAATTAAAATAAATTCACATTTAAAAAAAAGTCTCAGAAAACCCAGCAGAATCTGCTACACAGCCAATTATATTTTAAAAATCATTTTAACTACAGCACAGGCATTTTTTTGAGTGTAAGTGTAAAAATAAATTCTCATTGCCTTCTACCAGCAAGGTCCTGTACAAACCAGTTTTTCTATACAACATACTTGCAATTTTGTACCAGACTCCTTAAATATCTTCTGTGAGAGCTCTTTCTTTTCTGGTGTTTTTTTTTTTGTTTGTTTGTTTGTTTGTTTGTTTTGGTTGGTGTTTTTTTTGTTTGGTTGGTTGGTTGTTTTTTTTTGGAATCTCACTCTTAAATTATATCCTCTAATCAAGGTAAATGCCATTCCTCAAAACCAATGCTACTCAGATTTCAGTGGAGCATGATTACAGTTTACAAAATCACTAATCCAGAAAATCTCCTTTGGAACATCAGAAGACCTTTCTTTGCTTTTGTAAATTACTGGCAATGAAGCAGCCAACCGGCCACAGAAAATTCATCCACAATTCATCCACCAAACCTATGGTTTGGTGCCCTGTCAGTCTGCTCAGGCACTCTTCCCATATTTATCATGCTAATCACCCACTTCAAAAATAATAGAGAGAGGTCAAGGACAAAATATTGGTCAGCAAACTTTAGTGAATGCAGTTATACCAGAAAATGACCAAAAAATACAACGCAGCATTGTGACATTAAACCAAGCCTCAAGGGCAAAGCTTCTACAGTTACTGAAAGCAAAGGATTCTGATCTCTTCAGAGAAGGAGTGCATGCTACCTTGTGTCAGAGGTGCACACTCTTCTCTCCCACCCGTACAGCTGACCTTCACTCAACTCCAGCTTGCCGTATTTCAGTGATACAGAGAGTAAGCTGCAAGCTGTTATTTGGAATCATCTCCTGTGAAAAAAATCTAAAATCCGACAGCCTTTCAATGCCAATTCATTTAATGGATGAGATTGCTGTTTTTTCCTCTGTGTAGAAGGTGGGGGGGGGGGGGGGGCAGTGGTTTGAGCAGTTACTGTTTTAATTTTAGGAGTTGTACCACGTCAATTTTGATCAACACAAAAAGTTTGTTGGAAACAGGAATATTTATTTTTTGCAGAACTCAAGTAACTCAAAACGCGGAGAAAAAAACATATTCCCAGATTTATTCACTCCTATATCTCTATACATTTAAAGAGTTCATGGACTGATTTGTCAGCTGTTAAAAAGCTCTTAATTACGTTACTGAAAGAATGAGGTAAAAGGCAGTTTTAGGACCAGCTTTGTACTACTCAGGAACCGAGTCAGTATGAGATATAAGCAAGAGTAGCCACAATGCCATTCTGAAATCCACCAACTTGGTTTGCTCCTATGGAGAAGTCTCTCCAGCACACCTACCCTGAGCCAGTACAGGATCCAAGGCACCTTGACGGAATAAATGACAAATTTCAGGGATGCCATTTACTGGCCATGCAGATAAGTACACTAAATAAGGGTACAACGAGGAGCTACATTCATCCCATAAAAAGGTCATTCCAACAGCCCTGCACAGAACACCTTTGATTCAGTCTTCAGCTCGTGCTGATTTGACATCTGTACCCATTTTCTCTTCAGACAACTCTATAATGGCCTTCAGCTCAGCTTCAGAGAACTTCGGGGTCAGTGCCACATTGTCATAATCAAATTCTTCATCAAGGGAGAATGGTTGAACATCATCGCCCAGTAGCTGTAATGAGGAAAAACAGATATATAAATAATATTGCTGCAAGTGATAATGAGGAAGCTCAAAAATATAAACTTCTAATTAATATTTAATTAAACTATTTTTTCTGACTCTAACACTCTCAGCTGATTAAGCTCTTTTTAAGTAAAAGAATAAATTCAATTATTCAATTTGACCTAATTTAAGCCATTTAATGTGCCCCATTTGTACTGTACTGTATCTGAATGAATATCATTAACTAATTTTGCTCAAGGCAAGGAATCTAAAAACCTCCCTTGCACACATCCATTATATTCCTGTCACTTGTAGCAGCAAGGCTGTGGGGATATGGACGTGTTATATGCAGCTATGTTAAATTTCAAATACAAATTCCATGTCGTCAAAATTTGGATTATTATTACATAAAGCTGCAGCATACATGCATCTGACACTAATGCAACATGTTTCCCAGAAGACAGTTTCAGTGAAGGAAAAGCCTGCAATGAGCAAAACACACATAATCAATTTTCAGACTCTAATAATTTTTTTCACCATCTCAGAGACGTGGAATTGGCTAGTTTGCATTTCTTGCACGATGAACATAAGAATCTTATGGCATTTGCCAGTATGTGCTTTGTTGACATACTGTATTGCATTTCTGCATTGCTTCTGGTTGAAATATCTTCGAATAAACACTCTGCCTATAAAATAAAACAATGAAAACAAATAACTATGAGAGGCTTCATGCTGATAAGAAACTGTAGGGGGCCATGACAAGAAAGGTTTATGGTAAGCAGTTACATAAAATGAATTCCAGAGTAACACAGGAGACACATCTTCAATATTAAAACTGTGTATGAATGCTCCCTATCCCTTGAGAAGTTAATATAAATTGCCTATAAATGCGTTTCAAAGATTTAAGTACTTCAGCACAAAATCAGCAAAATGTTTAAACACATGCTTATTTTTTCAAGCTTTTGACAAGTCCTCAATCCCATGACTACTGATGCATATGAAATTAAGAATACATGTACTTGCTGAAAAGCAGGAAGAACACTCAGCATCCTATGATCACTGCTCAGTTTAGAAGGCACAATCCTGCACAATTTGATGTGACGTTTCGATAAGAAGAAGCATTGACACAGTTAAGGCCAACCAGTAAGAGAATTGGTAACTGGACTCCTCTCTGGTGGCCTTGATAGACATTGCAGAGAGCATCTGGGTAGTATCTACATCCTTTATTAATAAACTGTAATTTGCATGAATAATCAGGAAATAGTTTTTCTGGGGTTGTATAATTCTATTAATCATCTATATTGCTCAGTTTTCTATGGATCTGGCTTACATGCTGGAGTTACCAAATAATTCTGGATGCAGATGAGTAGACCATGGGCATTTATAAATGGGAAAAACTTCATAGATACACTCGGTCTAGAAAAAACTACTCATTCTGCACACAAAGATTATCTTGCTTATGTCCACAGACTACTTCATGTAAGCCATCATTAACTTTTATAAATAGCCCACTTGAAAGATGTTAACAGGAGATAAAGCCTGCACATAAACTCTCATTCCCATTAGAGATAAAGCCAACTCCTTGACCTCCTCAGCATATTCATGTTCATTTCCATCTTTTCCACATGCAGAGCCTTGTAGAATTCCTTGTCAGTAGGATTACCAGCAACTGTGTGACAAATGGTAGCAGCAACCAGGGTTCTACTACCTGTCTTTCATTTGCAGAAATCCAATGCACTCTTCTAAAATACAATGCAAGTCATGAATATTTTTCAGTTATTTTGGTTGTAACAATATTTTTTACAACATTGTGCTGGTTTTGGCTGGAGTAGAGTTAATTTCCTTCACAGTGGCTGGTATGGGGCTGTGTTTTGGATTTGTGCTGAACACAGGGTTGATAATACAGAGATGTTTTGTTATTCCTGAGCAGGGCTCAGAGCCGAGGCCTTTTTGGCTTCTTGTACAGCCACAGTGGTGAGGGAGCTGGGGGTGCAGGGGAGGAGACACAGCTGGGACAGGTGACCCCAACTGCCCAAAGGGATATTCCACACCACACGTGTGTGGAATCATCAGTGCATAAAGTGGGAGGAAGAAAAAAAGGGGAGTTTGGAGTGATGTCCTTTGTCTTCCCAAGTGACTGTCAGCTGTGGTGGGGCCCCGCTCTCCTGGAGGTGGCTGAGCACCTGCCCGCCCGTGGGAAGCAATGATTTAACTCCTCGGTTTGCTTAGCTTGTCTGTGAGGCTTTTACTTTCCCTATTAAACTCTCTTTATCTCAACCCCTGAATTTTCCAGTTTACCCAGTTCTCTCCCAGTTCTGCTGGTAGAGAGCAAGTGAGTGGTTGTGGGGCTTGGTGTGTGCCCAGGGTTAATCCACCACACACATCTAAGGTAACTGAGCTAAGAAGAGTTCAAACTACAGTAAGCCTTTACAGGGATTTTACAAAAGCAAATCTATTTTCCTCTGCCAACAGAGTTACAGAAAGTATACACATATCCACTCAGACCTTGTCTTGGCCTTCATATCATTCCAGGAACATTTTATGCAGACACAGCAAAATGCTGGAAAAACTTTTGTTTACAAAACTCGACCCCACAACGCTAACTGAAATAAGATGCCAAAATAAAACATACCCGACTTCACTCTGTTAATGATTTCTCTGTTACCCACTCATTGCACATTTGAAAAGTTTATTCACACCGAATATTTATCAGTGTGCTTCATCTCTCAAATGAATACTCAAAGCATTAGGGATTCCTTTTTTTCTTCTTCTTCCAAGAAGCCATTGACTTCAAACTTCCATGAAGACAAGCAATCTAAAACTTATATACTGCAAACTGCAATTTTGTTCTATGTCAAAAGGAAGACATTTTACGATAGAACACTGAATTCTCTGAGCTGATCAAGTTATTATCTTGTTATTTTTGCCTAAGGAGCTGAGAGAAATATGTGAATTTCAGGTGTCTAATTTAACATCTAATTGAAATCTTTTTGAGAGCTCTCTGGGAATAGAATCCTGCTCTATTAGAAAACTGCCAGTTTGCTTAAGATTGCTTCTGTGATTTACTCTCTGAAGAAAAAAATCACTTTCATTTACAGTTCCTGCATGTCCAAATTAAAGGAGGGAAAGAATGTAATATTCATATTAACAACTGAAATATTTTGCTAGACGTTGTTATACCAAGTAATATTGTAAATAAAATACTTGACATTTTCAGAAGTCTATTAATAATTGGCAACTCGGTTATTTTATTAATCTGCGAGGAGTTAAACTTAGCTGAACAACTTCTCTCTGTCCTTCTAAAACTTGTATTTCTGTGTAATTATGGCACTCTATGATTCACTTGTTCAAATTATGTAAAGCTTGCACATACACTCACCAGTGATTTCATTGCATGCTCAAGGGAACACTTACTAGTACACTAACAATAAATAAAATAAAAAAAAAAAAGTGGAGGGAAGGCATATATGCTATGATATAAGCATAGTATATCCTGGAGTACCTGGGAGAAAAAAAGCTTGTTTGAGCTTGGGGCACTGGATTAGAAGTCAATAAATCTTAGCCAATTTTCCACTTCTGCTTCATCATTCTGGACAAGTCACTCAATCTCTGTGTCTTTACTGGCCTCTGAGAAGATATAACTCTTCCATCTTCTTTGACTTAGTCAATCCTGTCTTTAAATTCTTCTGTGTTCCTGTTGCATTTATGCATAGCACATAGCAGAAACAAACCTCAGCTGAGGTTGAGCAGTAAAACTTTAACCAAAGGTACTCAGTGGAAGTTGTATTCTAGGGGATAAATGCTGCCATGCCACAGATTATTAAGATAAAATGACAGACATGCTAAGTACTTTTTGATTGCTCAAACTACAGACAAATAAAGAAGAAGAGAAGGGCAGATTTCTTCTTTCCTAATCCGAGCCATACAAAAATTAGGTTTCTAGACTAAGGTAGTCAGTTAGCCGAAAACAGCCCAGCCCAAGCTTGTGTATTTATTACATTTTACAACAAATTCCTACAGCAAGCGGGATTAATCACTTTCTGGAGTTGCTTCATTCTGCCTCTTGGTGACTGAAGGACTAAAACTACATTTAAAGCTGAAGTTAGCTGAAATTAATCCCACTTTGAATGCATGATTGTAGCAAGTGGATGAAAACAATGCAACTGCACTCATGTGTACGCAGAGAAGGAAATAACGAATAAAGACACAAGGAAGCAGGAATTAAGAAATTAAGACATAAAAATATCCTACATAAAAAAATATATTAAGTAGAAATAAAGGAGAAAATAAACTTCTGGGTAGGGGAGGGGAATGTTCTGTGATAATGTACTTCAAAGATAGAATAAATGCTGGTTCAATTTGAAGTGGCCTGTGGGAGGTCATGTATGCTCCACTGTGGATATTGACATCCTGAAACACATTTATTTCTAAAGGGAGGAAAGAAAGATGAAGCAACACTGGTGGATAATACAAATAATTTGCAATGTCATTCACTAAGCCGCTTCCTAACACCTTTTGACAGAAAAACATTTTCAGGGAGTCAAGTTGTTCTTTAACAATTATCCAAGTTATAAACTGGGTCTTAGCAGAGCTTCTTTTATTAAACTTTCCCTAGCAATATGTTGAGAGATACACAGTTTACCCTAAAGTGGCTTACAAGTGTTTCCATAGCATAGACATTTCTCATCCTTCTATTTTTCATACAGAATGGTCTTCCATTCTCTAAGAAAACCAATTAGGCAGCCACATTATGTTGCCCTTCCCTAACAGATTTGTTTTGATGGACAGAGAACAGTCTCATTTTAAAGCAGAGATGTCTCCAGGGAAAATCTTTTTCTCTTTCTAAACTAGTCCTGCCATAAGCAATGCAAGACTTAATTCTCAAGGCAATGACAATTTGAAGCACTGAGGGACTTTAAAATGGACCTGTTCAGTCTTGACAGTTCTAAAAATCAGGCCCCAGTTATATTATCTAAATGAAGGCAAAAATATGTTTATAATTTAGGGGAAAGGCTGCCTTCATCTTAAGTAGCCTGGCACCAACAAAATGGTTGTGGAAATTGTCTTTCTTCTTGAAAAATGCTGCAACCCATAGCCAATGTAATAATACTCAGTTTCTTTCATAACCCAAATTTCCCTCAAATGGAAATGAATTTTGCATGCAGTCGGATCTTTATCTATTTTTCATGAACTATAGTTTAAAGAATCATATGCAGTCCTTTATGAACACTGCAGGCTGCTACAACCTTCCTTCTTCTCTACAGAAGTTATGAAATGAGAAAGCTATAAAGCCTCATTCTAGTTTTTTAGGTGTTATTTTGTGTCCAATGGATATATCTAAAGGCAAAACCTTGAATTATGTCAATCCTTAGGGAAAAGAGTGAGTATTTTTATTCACAGAATGGCAGGTATTAAAGCTTGAAAGGTCATTTTTGAACATCTACTTTTTCCCAAAGCAGACTTGTTCCTTCTAGTAAAGAGTTTATTGCAAGGAACTAAACACAACTGAGCCCAGGAAAGGAGGCACCATATGCAGTGCTATAACACCAAACCTTCATTGGTCACGCGTCATTTATAAACTTGATTTAAGCCTCACGGGAACATCAATAAGCATATGAAACTATCAAAACTGGCCCACTTTAGCTGGAAGCTAACTTCAGCTTCTATTGCAATGATCAGGCAGGGGAAAAGAGCAGTGAGGAATTCTCTGCGATAGAAACACCCCCAAAGTTAATGCTCATGCTGACTATTTGGATAGGAAGCTTAATGACTTAAAATAAGCCTATGAGCAATCCACACCTTCTGCTGCAGTTTGAGAAGAACTGAATTTCTGAAGGAAGACAGCAATTCTAAATTAAAGTCTGCACTGACTGTGTCTTTTTAAAAGGCTCAGAGGCCATAAAGCAAAACTCTCCACACCAGACCCTGACAATGCAGCTTCTCAGCAGCATCTTGCTACTACTCATTTCCAAGGGACCAGATTTTAATTCTGACCGCAATATATTCTAAAATCTTTTTTTTTGTTAAGCATCACGTTAAAGGGATCGTTCACTATCTCCCTGCTGCAAAAATTGGCTCCTATATTAAGCCAGTGAGTATGCCATAAGATCATGAGATCACTGGAAAATTAAATGGTCCATCATTCTACATAAGCAAGGATAGCTAAAAGGCTTAAAGGGCAAAGGCTTACTTGAATATTCTGTGAGTTACACAAATTAAATATTTAAAAGCCCACATACCATTTGAAGTATTGAAGTGCACATTTTGAAAATGTAAGATTATATAGAAGCAGTGTGCAAGATAAAATAGAGTGTTTATTTCAATTCTTAACATATTTAAGAATTCATTATTCACTTAAAAATTAATAATATGACTTGTTAACTCACAGCAGTTTCACATACTACATCTATATTCCTCTGTTCTTGTGGTAATAACAGTAGAAGCCAACAGGAAAAATAAAAATACCCCAAACCCCAAAAGCTTGAATGAATACATCTGACCTCATACCTCTTGGGCTTTGCTGTCTGATGGCTGGGGAACTGACCAGGCTCTGAACTTTGGCTGAATAGGCTTATCAAAGAAGGGTGTACAGCAAGTCACTGTCTCTTCCACCTCTCCTGGAAGAACTAATGACCCTGCTGAATAAAAAAGAGTCAACATTAACCTTCCACTCGATGCATAAATTAGCAAAATCCTGCTAAAATCCTGTAGTGCTCAGACATGGGCAGTAGCTTACTAGTCAGAGTGTGATGTAGTTATTGTTGCATAAGCTATCATTAAAACAGAACCATGCAGTCCTGAGCTAAAATCTAGGTAGTAATACTGAACTAAGGAAAAATCAAACTTGTCTGAAAACAGACAGGTAGCTCTTCTTTCTTAAGGATGCTGAATTAAAATCTGGATGCAGATGCTCTTAAACTCAGAGAGCACCTGGAATTACATTCCTTTCTTTCAGAAGAAAGATGGAAGGTCCTCAGCAGAGATGTCTGCAGTAGAAGTTATAAAACACCTTGCCTGCCACTGATGAGCTGAGCAGGGTCATTCACTTCTCTTTACCTAGAGCTTCACCACCTTTACACTGGGCATAAAGAATCATTGCAAAGCATCTTAGTATGACTCTCACAAAACATTAAGTAAAGACACCTGGTAGAACTACTAATATTCCGCACTGCAGTGCCAGATGACTCTCTTGTCTAAGGGTATTTCACAGATGTCTGTTTCTCCCTGATCTGTCCAAAAACAGGCACTTGAGAGGACTTCCCCCTATCTGGGATGGAGTGACATGTAACCTTTCCATACAGGCAGGATTTGTTCCACAGTTCACAAATGAACAGCTTTTCTGAATCACTTTTCTTTTACAAACTTCAGCAAAACATTCATACTGGGACCAGTGGGTTTGCATTCTGTGACAGATCTGAAGGATATGCCTTAGGTTTAGAAATATCTTCTAACATGAATCAATCTCAGCTCTGCCACAGCACAGATGTGTCCATCATGTCTCAGTAATGTTTTTATGAAAGAACTTAAGGGGACCATATGTCTTGCAATTTAGTCAAAGGATTATGTAAATCTACCTACTATTTTTTTCAGCTGATACACAAGTTTCTTTACAGTTTTATACTACATTTACATTTATCTTGTAATCTCAGAATAAATTTTCAAAGCACTGCTTAAATGTTACTTAATGGAAGCAACAAGAGAGTACATAGATCTAGGGTGAAATGGATGAAGTGTCTACTTATCTCTGTATCTGCACAATTTTACCACAGTAGTGGAGTTACAAACCTCTCATTCCCCTGTGAACCTGCATTTGAAAATAAAGATTTCCTAGGCAGGTCTCCATAAAAAATCCATGATCAAATTCTTCATTTAGTTTTCTTCTGGGAATAGTGTACTATTTGAAAAGCCAGCAGGGCTTCGAATTGCAAAGTAGAATGTTCTTTTAAAAAGAGTTGAATTAATTCCCTTGGGTATTTAATTTCTGGATTTTTGTCTCGTGTTTCGTGATAAGTGGGTTTGTTTTCATCCCTATTCTCTTGGTTGCTTATGTCTATCTCCAGCCATGTAAGTGCTTTCAGTCCTTGTTCTCAGCATAGCATCTGTTCTGATTCTGCACCAGTTACATGAGGAAAACTTTCAGAAAAGGACAGCACAGTCCACAGGTATCTAGGCTATGTCTACACATGCTCTGCACCTGCTTTTTCCATCATTTGGGTCAAAAGTATTTATAGGACAGAAGGAAGATGTGAATGCTCATTTAAAGACAATGGAATCTTCCACTATTGTTTCAAACCTGCAACCTTGATCTACACCCTTACTAAAGTAAGGGAAGCCTGGACATCAAGAGGTTTTTATCACCTACTGATACAAACACTGATTATTTCTGCTCTAAGAGCTTCTCCTCCTCAACAGACCAATCTGCAGAGAGAAGATGAGGAGGAAGCACTGTTATGCAACAGCCTGGCAATGGCTCAGAAAGATAACTCTTAAGAATTAGGACAACAGAAGGAAATTTATTTTTGCTTTTAGAAAGAAGTGCTTGTCATACTCAGAATGTCAATTCCACTTTTTAAGGCTTGTTAGTAATGCAAACAATGTTTCAAATTCCCTTCAATCACCCTTAAGAATGTAATCAACCTTTGTTTGCCAGCAGACATGCCAGAAATGAGCTTTGTCTCTCTCTATCCTGGCTGTGTGACAACATATGAAAGTCTAATTGGTAAATGCTGCTTTCCCTGATAATGTTTAATAAAGAAACCCCTTCAGAGAGAAAAAAAATTAGAGAGTTTTGACAGTCGTCCTTCTCAGTGGGAGCACCCAAAGGAACTCCAGGCCATTGTAAGTTCTAGCCAGTACCTCACAGCTTGTTTAAGCTGCTGTTACAGCACTACTGGATGATGATCCTAATTAAGCTGCTAATTATGTTCTCTGTGGAGGTGATTAATTAGCAACAGGAAAGCCTTGGATACTGCCAACAGCACCATATATAGAGATAACTGAACAGGCAGCGGTACCAAAAAAACTGAGAAGACATTTTGAAATGCACCTCTCATGTTATGAAGAATCAACTCCCTGGATGATATGGCTGACAATTTTACTGAAGTCCAGCATACTTTAATAACAGCATATTTGGAAAGTGAACAATACTCTTTAGTCCCTCCCTACCACATCGCAGAAAGTGATCACTAAATCTGTCAACACTGCTGAGTTGGGAGTTTTTTGCATACTGTGTACCACAGACACCAATTGTGAGTATAGAAAAAAATTATCTACTGGCACAAGTCTGCTTTTAACTTTCAAGAGTGAAAGAAGTTCGAAGTTTCGTCTATAACTTTACTGTAGCCAAATGATGCCCAGCTATAAATACACTGACAGCTATATATACACTGACACAGGTTTTACCACTTTCAGACACTACATTTCACAAAAATGCTGTTGATGGGGAATTGAGAAGAGAATGATAACAAAAAAAGCTTAAAAGCTAAATTTTGCAGTCTGCTCTAATTCTCATGCTTCAGGCTGTTAGTCCCAAAGAGCTGCCTAGTGTGAAATCATCTCAAGGCAGTGTTAAATGGATTGCAGCGACTGGAGAAGAAAAACAAGAAAGGGATTCACCAGCTGGGGGGGAGCCCCATACTTTAAAAAATCCACCTCATTTAACTCTGAATCCTCTTTCTCAACATGATTTTTCTGGATATAACGATAGGCTAAAATATAAATGGAGAGGCACAGATTATGAAAAGTAACAGATGTTGATATAATTCACCCAAAAATTATTTAAATAATCAATAATTATGCTTGGCCTCAGCTTCAAAGTAACTGAGTCAATCAGGTTCTCCTCAGCCTCTGCAGGGTTACAGACAACTGGGACCTTGAAAAGACAAGTTTGCAGCACTTCAGTGCTCCAAGCTGGATTAGGATGAGACAGTTATATCCTTGCCTATGATGCCTCACCCACGCATTTAATTAGTCCTGTTTTAATTTTCTCTTGTATTTCTCTCGCATTTCTCTCGCACACTCAAGATCTCCAGACATTCTTTAACATATTTGGTACTTTATTCAAATATCACCTATTATTATCAAGTTATCCCTAAAGCCCTGCAGGCAAAAAATTTGTAAGCAGTCCTGGAAAGTCCTGTTGCCAAAACATAGGCACTAGGCAGCATCCATCCGTCCATCCCTGGAGAAAGCCTGATCATCTCCATTGTTGCCTTAAGCTCCTTACAGTTAGAGATTAAATTCAGGGAGAAAGAGTGATTACAGTACACCATGCCCATGCTGTCTCTACATGATGCATTAAAACTGTGGTTTAGGGCAGCAATTTCACTTTGCCAATCATGGTTTACAGTGCTAAAGTCCCACAATGCAAAGCATTGCCCCTGTTTCAGGCTTTCAGTCCAGTGCTGTCAAACAAAACCAGCTACAATAAATTTGCACATTGGCCAAATCTCTGGGCTGCTTTTCCTACTCCTAAGAAGCAGTCATATTCATTCACACCTTAAAAGACACTGAACTTTGCCAGATAAATTGGAAAAAAAAAAAAAAAAAACAAAACAAAAAACGCCCCAAAAAACCAAAAGAAAACTTCACTAGAATGACCCTTCCAGGACACCTGCCAAAAAGCACTGGTTAGATGGGATGTTTTTTACACCTATTTTCTACCATGCTTCTCATACCTTCAGATTTGAGCCAGTTGCCCTTAAGTGTGAATATTTATTGTATTAATGTACAGTTGCCAACTCAGCTAACTGATCTGCCCTTTAAAGCTAAGCGAAACACAGAGATATTGAACTGCTGCCAACAACGAGAGATGAAGGTTTGTTGCAATTACTAGCAAGGTATGATATTTTTACTGAGTAAAATAAGCTATGATATTTTTAAGCTTGTTTTGACAATATGAAGTCTTAAATCAATCATTTTTTCTGACATAAGGTGGCAGCATTTAAAAAGGTCAACAACAGAATGTATAATTTGTGTCACAATTTACCTCATTTATAAACTAACTGGAATTCTACAGAATTAATCTTTCATTAAGGTATTCACTACTGATATTATTCTAGATTACTTTAACATTACAAGCAATAGAAGTGACATAATTTTATATTTTAAATTGCATTTTGTTGCTATGGTTTCTACAGGACTAAGATTTTACCTCTCTTACTATGAAGCTCTATTGAGTGGATTTTGATGTGTAAGACAGGTATCAAACCATAAGTGCTATTTTCTGCACTTATTTCTATTTAGGAGTCAAGGAGAAATTTTTTAGCCTGACTTGACAAACATTTTCAAAGCCCAGGGTTTCCCAGATATAAATTTGCATGTTGTTCACTTTCCTTCCAGCATTTAGAAGGAACAATTAATTTCTAGCTAGGCAGTATTTCAATGTTATAAAATACAACCTAAAAGCCTAATGTTAGTGAGCATTGTTGATACAGTCTCAGTCTTCACTGAGGCACTCTGCCTCAAATAAAGTGTGTTTTACCAGGGTTTTCCATATGTATGTGATTAACATTTACTCTTGGATACACACAAATACACAGAAATGACCCAAAAGCTGGAGAGAGGCATGGTCTGTCACAGTACTGAATGCACTGAGTTATCCCCAAGCTTAAGCAGAGCTCTTTTTCTCACTGTTCTGCTTAATATTTTAGCATTGGGCTTAATTCTCATCAACCAGTTTGTGGCCTGTTTGGAACTATGGATATCTAACAATACTTTAATGAACTGGATATAGGCATTTCTCGCATTATGACACAAGTGAAGTGTGGGTTTGTGCTTCCAACAGTAAACTCCAGGGGCTTTTTAACAGATAATTCCAGAATTTAAGACATAAACATAGAACAATGCCCTACAAAGGGAAAAATGGGCACATATGAACACTGCACTCAAAAAAAAATCTTTGACATTTTTTTTTACTGTTTTACTCCCTCCTTTCTGAAAGGTTGGAGAAAGAATACTTGCCATAAACCTGACTTACATTGGTTTATTATTTTCTTGTGAGATTCTGGAAATCTCTAAGCCCTTGGACTTCACAGGAATTCAGGACACAGAGAAAGGAAAGACTAATCAAAACTTCACTGTTAGAGTGGAGAGACCAATCAAGTGGCAATAACTAAGAAAGCAAGCAACAAAGCCCTGCAGTTTCTGTCTGTGACCTCACGCAAATCCCTTAATCTGTGTGGCCTGGTTTCCTTGTACAGCCACAGGTATAGATGACGAAAATGAATTTAAACACTAAAAGGTTGTCAATTCTGGTTGTAATAAAGACCACAGAAGGACCTATAACAGACAACTAACTATAGACATTAGCATTCCATTTACTTTTTGGAGGTGGGAGAATTAAAATTATTATAGATGTACAGAACAGTTCAACACAACTCAAAATGCTCCTAATTGGAATTTTTAAAGAAGTTCACTGTGAATTCAGAATTAGTCTAATCTATTTTAAGCCCAGGATGAAATTGTTTTAATAGGTAGGGACAGCATTTTCATTAAATATTTCCACTTTACAGCACTGTCTCTTAGCACCCACATTACTTTACAAAAAAAAAACTTTTGTAATGACAGTAATTTCAATACAAAATAAAAATGCATGAATATGGGGAGATGTTGCTAACAAGAAGAGCTCTGCACTTCTAGAAAAGCTTGGGGGAAAAAAAAACCTTCACCAGGACAAAGTACAATAAACATTCCCCTTAATTTATTATTTCATTACCTCTTAGAGTGAGGAAATTAGTACTTCAATTTGGGGAATTGGGGCAATGTTGGGAATTTTCTAGCAATAGAAGAACTCAGCAAGATCATCTCTTTTAGGGGAGAAGCAGTTCTTTAATCAATTTAACCAAGCAGTTCTTTAACCAACACACTTGCATTCAGAGACAGAAAACGATGGTGAATACGAAGGGGGAAACCTACCACTGCATGTCTCTTCATCTGTGTCTACATCTTCCAAGTGTAAGTACTTGTCCACCTGCCATGAAAACCCAAATGGGAAAACAGAGAAAAATATATCAATTCCATTCCTTATAGTACAATCCAGAGCAAAGCAAAAATGCATTAAATTGTCTACTTGATCTTTTCCATTTTCCCCTGCATTTTTCCAAGAAAGCATATGAGTTTTCTTTGAAATGTGTAACCCAAAGGAAGTACTTTTAGGTATAGTCAAAGATTTACTGCCAAAATTGCCACGTATCAACTTAAGTGATGGAAAGGAAGCTCAAGCTGTACAGTAACTTTCTCAGGAACTTAGTGGGAAGATGAAGAAGTAAAATATTTTCATAGGAAAATGATGCATGATGAGTTACTAGGCAATTTTGCAAGCTCATTTCATAAAGCACAAAGAGAATATATGCTGTAGGCAAACTAGAGCTTGATCCTTCTGTTTTGACACTAATGGTGAATTGATTAGGAAAAAAAAAAAAAAACCTAAGAATTATTACATTTCTAGTATTTAACCTGGGGCTTTACTCTACTATTTTCTCAGGCTAATGTCCCTTGAACAACCTAAACTATTTAAAACATACCCAAGGACAAGACATTTCTCATTTCAGGTATCACTCTGAATAGATGCACAGAGTGAGAATGAAAGGTTTTTCCCAGCCTATCTGCAAATAGTGTTACCATGGAGGATTGACTACATGCCCTAGATTTTCTTCTGTGTTTCCATGAAGTAATTAAAGATGCTTTCAGATAATTTTTTCCAAGCTGGTTTGAAAACAGTCTCAAGACTTACATAACCTTTACACTTTAAAAGTACATATTCACCAACATCAGAAAAAATTTTGGACTGCTGTCATTCTTCTTTCTCACAGATGGGAAATACATCAGCAAATTGCAAGTAATTTGTAAATTAATACAGGCAAAATCAGTCATGTTCTGCTCATAATCCCCACTTTCAAGTAAACCTCACCTTCACTCTCTCAGACAGACTGAGATTATTTCCATCAGAGACACCAGCTGTTGAGCTCTCACTCATCACTGCCTGTAAATAGATGGGCAGAAATACTTACATGCATGAAACAGAATCAAAATCACAACCAAAGCTCCTACTGATTTATACATAGTTCACAGAATCACAGAATGAGTAAGGTTGGAAGGCACCACTGCAGGTCACTTGTCCCTGCTCAAGAAGGGTCCCCTAGAAAACATTACTCAGTTTTATAGACGTTGTATATAAAAATTTTTAAGAAGTTAATGCAATGCTCCTGAAAATAGAACAAGTACAGGTAATTCTATGAAAACCTACACGGGACCAGACTGAATAAATTGGAACAACAGTGCAAGTAATCATAGCATGCCTAAAAAGCAACATTTAGAACAGTAGCACTGTTTTCAAAGCAGTATTTTCCTCATTTTCCTTTCTTAGGGCAGGCTTAAAGGTTACAGTGGTCAACTTAATGCATTACAGCCTCCTGCTGCTACTACACTGCCCTTTTTCTGCTGCATTTTACTATTATTGTATTTGTTTCTTAAACTGCTAATGTGACAAAAATGTGCAGGCATGTCTGAAGTTTTTTCTTCTACGTAAAGGTTTATGGAAGTTCCATCACATAAAGGATAATGGAAGTTGTACATTGCTTTACTTGGCAGAAAGACAATTCAACGTGGCTAAAGTAAGAGACACAAAGTCAAATTATAGCAATGAGAAAACAATACTTCTTATGAAAAAAATGGCAAAAATATTGTCATTATTATTACACAATCAACTGACAGAACATAATTGTGAGACACAAAGTCAAATTATAGCAATGAGAAAACAATACTTCTTATGAAAAAAATGGCAAAAATATTGTCATTATTATTACACAATCAACTGACAGAACATAATTGTTGTAAAAGCCTTGCTTGATTCTACCTCAAAGACATGTCCTAGAAAGGAGGAAAGTGGCAGCTTGTGCCCTGTGGCCTGGCAGGCCCATCATTTGAAAGCACTTCAGTGTGTTGCTCAACAAACACAAAAGGACCTGCTACTTATTTTTTAATAAAAGTTTAATGAAGAGCAATTTTGAGTACAGACTAGATCACAGCCTAATTATTTGTTATTCAGGCAGGAAGGCAGAAGTTCTTAACAAGTTGACTCCGATTTCCATCTCCCTTCCAGATGACGCCTGTTGTTTTCCTGTCCCTACACATTAAATCCCTAATCCCTTATGTTTCAGAAGATCAAAAATGCCCCTGGCCTGCCTACTGTTTACTTCAGGCAGTAACATAGCTTCAGGAACACAGAACTCTTGCATTTCCTAAAATCTACAAGAAACAAATAAACCTGTCCATGCTGGCATCCGTAATCTCAGGATTTATTTTTCCTTTTTGCCAACCTCTATCACAAAGTGCAGTCTCCAGTGAAAGCATTACTTAGCTCATTGCAAGGTGCCTTATTTGTTAGTCAGATTATGGCAGCTCTTCAGCAGGGCAAATGCCACTGCCAAACACGATCTCTGCAGGTGCCTCTCTAAGCATTTAACACTTAGGTAGTATTTTAAATATTTGCCTCACATAGGATAAATACCACTAGCCTCTAACATTTGGACAGTGTATCTCTCCATATTTTCATCTGTTTAAATGTGGTGCTTGTCCACATGGACAAATGTTAACTCGTTACCTCATTCTCATTTGGCATCCGTGGTGGAAATGACACCCACATTTCTTTGCTTCTTTCAGGTGAGCTATCCTGTTTATTTCTGTTTGGTAATTCAGAAGCAAAACTTTTTTTTCTTAAGGAGTCCACTTTACTTCCCTGAATTGTCTTTCCTTCTTTCTCTGCAAGCAGAATCACACCAGATCAGATAACATAATGCACTATCCAAGAAAAAGAAAAGCATGTCTATAATTACATTTACTATTGACTTTTTTACACATTCACTTTTCCTCTCATGAAAGCTTCCATGTACAACATATACATGTATTTTATGTATAAAATAAAACTTTAGCATAAAACCTTACCAGACTTTACCATAAAACTGAATATGCAGTTTGAACTTCAATTGCACAGAGTCCCACCTATTCCTCAATACTGAAGAATTCATTAACACAAAAGCTTATGTAAGATACAGAAAACTTCATAAAATCAACCAAGAATTGAAATACCCCAAAAAGCAAGACATTAAGGTTACGCCTTACTGCATCTAGAAGCTAACAGCATGTGCATGGAAGTATGGATTTCCAAACCCACATTGAATAGTTTTTTTTCCTTCTACCTGGCAAAAAAATAAAGTAATCACAGCCAAAATAAAAACACGGTACTTTTTGTTTCAGAAGTCCCATTATTGAATAAGCAGCAGCTATAGGTCAATCAATTACAATGAAATTCACACCACATGTTCTTAATGAAAAAGAAATGCTCATTTAATTAAGCTTTTTGAGTTTAGTTTGAAAAATTTACTTTGCAACAATAAGAAACACTGCACTGCATTTCTAAAGCATAATTATGTATTGTAAGCATCGAAGTAACTCTTGTGGAGAGTTTTAATGATGCCTTTGGGGTTGCTATATTGAGCCATACAGCAAAGAATTATTAATCCCCTGGGACAGCTCTGTGCTGCAGTTACTGTGACACGCAGAAAGGGCTAGCAGGCTGGGCATAACCTGAAGTCCACACTTGCAAGAGTCAGGGTTCATAAAAAGCAAACTGCACCAGTCCTCTGCACAATTCCTAAACCCCAGGTTTCTGTAACATCTTGCTTGTCCCTGCTTCTTTTGCAAGTATTTTCCTAAAACAGTATTTGGATACAGCAGTACAAATGAGCCATCACTTTTTCCCAACATTCTCTTTTTAAGCCATGGAAATGAAGCAGTATTAGACATGAAACTCTCTTTTAAATTCTTGACTGGTAAAATGGTCACCTACTATTTGAAGATAATTTTACTGTCACCCTACTTTAGAGGAAGAAATAGACGGCTAGCTCAAAAAATGTCAATCTTTTTTTACTTTAGCAGTAAAACAGGACAGACTTCCTGTTTTATCCTAAGTTTTATCTTAAAGACTGACAAGCCACAAAAGAATATTAACGTATTTTGGGGCAAATGTGTAATGGCAAATATCGCAGCCGAACATCTGCAGACCAGCAGAGTACCAACAGGGCCTGAGGACCAACCCAGGGTCCTCCCTGGGCACATCAGGAGATTTCTGTATGAGAAGTGATAAAAAGATTCTGGAAGCCATACACTTTTCTCACCAGACCAACAGAGACACAAAAGAAATCATCACTGGAATGATCAGAAGCACAACTCATAGAGCCAAAAGACTCTGAGTAAACATGACATTATTGCAGTAGCCCATGCTTTTCTTGTATACCACTGTGGTCATTCTTCTGAGCTATAAATCGGATCATCCTTCTCAAAAATATAGCTTCTGAGTTCTCCAGAGAAAATAATACCACTTTTAGCACCAAAAGACCTATGACACATAGTTGGGCAGTTATAATTAGGCACACATATGAGCTGACAAACTTGCTTTATTAGATTATATATATTTTGGACACCTGAGCTATTGTCACAGCTAAAAAGCTAGATGGATTAAATGACCTAGTAAGAAATCAAGTGCATTCAGAGTATTTATGTGCCATTTACCAACCCCAGACGAATTACAGCTTAGAAGCACTATCCCTTTTCCTAAGAGATCAGTCATAAACTTTTGACAGAAACCTTTTTCTGGTTAAAACCATTGCAAAGTTATTGGATTAGAGAATATTAAACAATACATTTGATGAAACATTCAGCACTGCAATGTCACACTAGATTCATGACTGCTCGTGAAGAAAAATTTAGAAGAAAAACGTCTAAGCAACCCAAAGCACTTGTTAAATGCAATTCTGTGGACACAAAATCAACTGTGCAACCATGTGCATAATAAGGCAATGCCATATAAATTAAAGGGGGGCAGGTGATTCAAACATTATGTTGCCAGCCTTGAGCACAGTCCCTCGGGATCAGTAAGAGCAAACTTCAGCTGCCCAAAGCAACTCCTGACACCTACAGTCTCCTCATGTATGCACCACATAATTGGCCCCTTTGAAGCAGTACCTGCAATGAACTTTGAAAATATTATCTAAAAAACCAGACAAAAGTTGTTTTGAAGTTAAAGAAACTACAGTCTGAAGACAAGTATCACAGGTGCATTTCTTTGATAGTGTTCTGAATTTCAACCATTTCTGTCCTTACTTTTTGAAGAGAAAGGGAAGAAGGAAGGATGGCATTCCAGCCAGCGAGAGGATCACTCTGCCCCTTCCCCTGACTAAAATGATAATTGACTCATTATTCACAGTCACAGCTCTCAACCTGCCAAGATCCTGTTGTAGAACACAGACCTTCACAATATGTGATAAAAATCAAAAATAAGGGATACAAACACAACAAAATGTAGCAGAGGAAGAAAGTTGAAATGATATAAAGATTCACACATTTATTCTGCAGACAGATTCTGTCTCACTTTTTAGTCATTTCACTGTCAGTGTCTTAAAAATGAAATAACAAGCCAACTTAGATCTCTAGAAAAGTACATCTGAGTCTCTCAAGAGCAGTATCCATCATAATTGTGTGTCACTACGAGTATGGTGCAGACTTTAGAAACATGTTTCAATCAAAAAGGATATCCAGCTTGATAAATTCTTTTCTCTCTTGCTATCTATCCTCTATATTGCCTAAAATTCTCTTTGTCTTCCAATTTGGACGGGAATTTTTTGAGAATGTCTAGTGATTACCCACATATTTCAAAGAATAATGGAGTCACTTACCACAAAACCAGAGAAGAGAGCTACCTGTATTATCAGGAAAAACTTACTGCCAGTGAAATCTCTCAGACGACATAGTAGCCCCAGCAGAATGATAAAATTCTCATGATCTGAAGCATTTCAAAGCCAGACCAGACACAGCAATCAATAACATACCATAGAATACCTGGCTTGGGATAATACACTGGACAAAACAATTCAAACTAACAGGTACTTCCCACCTTTTTTCAATTGGATTAATTAATTTCAAAACCAAAATCTTGTTGAGATTTAGAAACAGGTCCCTTTAGTTATAAAACAACAACAAAAAAAACATACAGGAAAGCTACTATTTTAGTTCCAGTTTACTTTTTTGTTCTCAAATCCTGGACTGAGGACCAGCAGAAGGCTTATGAATCCCTTAAGTCTCTTCCAAGTTATGCTTTGATGGAAAACCTGGAATTCAGATATTACAATGACTTTCTGCAGGACTCCTGAACAAAAAAACAAAAATCAATTTTACTCACAGTACTATAATAACTGTCTTGAGCAGAGATAACAAATACAAATGTCGTGTTCATTCACTTTCTCCATTCTTCAAACACACCATCAGCAAACATTTTAAAACAAGAAAAAAGGCTGTCACTGAAATGATTCCATAAAATATCACTTTGACATGTCCACAAGGTGATAACACACTCTAGAACTACCTGTATTTAACTATTTGCAACTATGTAAACCATTGTACAGCACTGCATTCATTTACCCTAAATTACAAGCTGTAAGAGGAAAACAAGAAATTTCAAGGCTAAAAATCCAGTTTGCTGAGAAGATAATTTTTAGAACCTTTTATTAATTTTTGTTGACTCAAAGCAGCTCCCACAATTTCTGCAGTAACCCTATGACACTGTAACCCTAGCAAAATCTGCTGACTCCCTATGTTTGTATATTGTTCTGGTGGGAACAGAACACAGTGTTTTAAAGTTACTTAGCCTAAAAAAGCCATTCTGATTTATATTAAACAGATACCTTTCTGTTTCCATATATTTTTGTATATAAATTGCTGTATATCAATGCAGTTTGACTTTTCAACACAAGAAATATCCCATTTAGTATGTACCTGAAGGATTTCAGTATTAGAGTCCTAAAAGCCTGTCCAAAATTAAGAGCAATTCAGGTGTAATTCAGGCACCTAAACTTCATCATGTAGCCCTGCTTTAAGAGTCTAAGGGCTTAGCCTCCTGATGCCACCCAAAAAGGCAGTGGATGTTTTACAGATATTGTACCATATCTGCCCACACTCAGCATCAGCATTGTCTATCCCATTACTATCTGAATTCATGTGAGGTACATTCCAATCTCACTCCATCAAAATCTGCACTCATTTCAATGGCAGTGATCTCACAGTAGTACTCAGCAAGCAGAATTCCTTTACAGCAAATAACTTGCCTAAAACATTTACCTCAGTGCGCAAATTAATATTTGTAACACAAAAATTCAGCTGGTGCAGCCTTTTCCCCTAAAGTCTTTGATCTTATCCTGATTAAATGACAAACAATCGGCACAAAGTATTGTTAGCCTTTTTTTTTTCCCCATTTAGAAAAGGTCAAGTTTTACTACAATCAGTAATACAGGCTCAATTTTTCAATTTAGATGTACCCATTTCTTAAGGAAATTCCACTGTATTATTTCCTCAGCCAGGATAAATAACTATTGCGCGGACTGAGACAAGTAATTTCAGTGGGACTAACTCTAATCTAACAGAGTAAACTCTAAAGTCCTGATAGTTACTTCTGACTGCCATTTTTGGATACTTATTGTAGTATGTTTAGAAGTAAGTCAGGAAAGGACTTTTTTATGTGCTCCTTCAGGGGAAAGATGAACGACTGCTACTATCAAGTATTTTTCAGCCACTCTCACAGACCTACTCTAGCTTAATGTACAGTAATACTTCTCTAAAAACCAAATGAGCTCCTAATTTTCAAAAATTTAGCTGTTTTTTTTATCGTGTCAGTATCTCTTCCTTTGTACTTAATGGAACATATGTGTTCT